ACACCCAGCTCCCAAGGTCAACCTATCCTTTATGGAAAGGAGCAATTACAATAATTCTTAACTATTTGAAGTCTGATTTATAACCAGTAAAACTAAAATATAAGACCTTATGTATTTTAAAAAGCTTATCGAGACTTGTGTTTTAATCTTGAAATCCCTTCCAGGAGTTAAATATTAGTGTTCCTTGAGATAATAAATTTACCAGTGTTGTGATTTACATCAAAATCATTACAGCTGATGTCTCAATGGCTCAGCATGTATTTAGCATGTAATCTCTTAACAACAAAATCCCAATGGCAAACAAAACCTCTTTGATTTCCTCTTTTAAGGAAAGAGTGAATAGTACGTGATCTCCAAACTTAAAATTGTCTAGTACGTATCAGAGTCATCTGAATTATGTGGGATCTTATAGGGCATGACAAAGACTTTAGATTTTTAGATACTGGGAATTGTATCCAGGGCTTTGGATGTATTAGGGAAGAGTGCTACCACTGAGCTACATCCTAAGCTCTTGTATTTCCTTTTCATTTTTTGAACTAAGACTGGTCTTGAGCCTGCAGTCCCCTTGCTCAGCCTAGAATATGCCACCATGTCTAGACAAAGTCATAAAGGACTGACAGGATTTTTCAAGCGAGAACTGGTATTGTCTGGCTTATTAAAATAAGAATCACTCTTGTTATTGTGTGCAAAAAAGTCTGTATGAAGGATACATGGAGGAAGGAAGGGTATCAAAGAGTGTATCAAAAGAAATAGACATGTATTTACTAAGAGACACAAAAATTTTCACAGCAACTTTATTCATAAAGACCATAAACTGGAAACAATCCAAATTTACATCAACACTAGAATGAATAAATTGTAGAACAATCATATAATGGTCTACTACACACAGGTAAAACATGAACTGTTGTTACATATAACATAGATTACTCTTGTAGACAATGTTGAACAAAACCTGCATATAATTATCCCATATAATTTTAAAATGGGTCATTGATGACAATAAAGGTCAGAGTAATAGCTGTATGTGTATGGGAGAGGTATTAACTACCTCCTGGGGTAACAAATATTTTCTACCTTTATCTAGGTGGTGCATTCAAGAGTAAATAAAACAATCCAGAGGTATACACATACTTGCACTTGTAAACATTTAAGTTTTATCTGAAAAGAGCAAAAAAAAAAAAAAAAGAAAAAAGAAAAAAAAAACCTGAAAAATTATATAGAGATAGGATATACTAACAAATGTTTTTCTTCCAAATATTTCTGGTTTTCCTCTGTAACACATGGGATGAAGTATGCCCCTTCACCTTTGGCATGGCCAAATGTTATAAGGGCCTACAAGTTATTTGTCCACCTTTCTTTTTTAGTTCCCAAGCAGACAGCCAAACCTTGATGCACCTGCTTTATCAGCCTGAGTCCTGGAATGAGGACAATTTAGAGCAGGGCCCAGCAATCTTTTTTCTATAAAGGGCCATAAGGTATATATCTTAGGCATATTAAAACTACTTAGCTCTGCCACTGTAGACAAAAAGCAGCCATAAACACATGGATGGACAAGATTGTGCAATAAACTTTATTTAGAAACACATGACATTTTATCTGGGGGCTGCAGTCTGTCAGCTCCTCACCTAGAGCAGTTCCTAGCCAAGCTACAATAGATACATCATCTGACACACTAAGTGTGTGTCACTTTTGCAGTTATCTCATGGCGTCTTAGCCCATCTTGATACAAAAATTGGTTCCCTGTTTTAAAAAGACCAAAGAACTAAAATACTTAACACACTGGCTTAATGATTAGGTAGTAAGAATTTAGGAAAACTGCTACTGGAGGATGGAAGAAATAACTTACACAGGGGCAATTTCTATCATACAGAGGTGAAACCGTCCCTTGAGATAAGACAGGAAAGCAGATTATCTATTCTTTACTATAGAAAATATAGAAAAATAAATTATTTTGTCATCATTGATTGTATTTGGCAAAAATGTACAGAAGAGATGAACTGAGAAATGAATTGGTTAGTTTGCAGGTAGAAATGAAGAGAATAAAGAATTCATAAACTCAAGTATTTACTGGGTAGTATGAGGCAACATATCAATTGCAAGATAAAAATTAGAAATCCTTTAACCCAAAGGCTGATTAAAACCTAGTTCTGCGGCAAAGATGACTATCACATCCACCATTTAAAAGTCCAATCATGAATGCAACCAATTCTTGCGTCAAATCTGACAAAAGTAACTTAAGGAAAGAGAGTAATGGTATGGCACTCTTATTTAAATCCCAAAGGCCCCCATTAACCAGACATTAAGTTCAGAGATGCATGGGAACAAGCAAAGAAATATAGCAAATCTAAAAGTACAGATTAATTAGGTATCATATTGGGTATCTCCCTTGGAGAGATGAGGACATTCCGCAAGTAGGAAAGTGAAATAAATAATCTACTAACTAAAAGGCCTGAGTCATCCTTCTGTCATTCTATTAAATTTACTTACTTTTAAATTCCAGAAGAGCCAGAAATCAGCTGTAAAGCAAAGTAACAAGTAAACATGCCATTTTCTCCTAGGGTTGATGCCTACAAAAGGAAAAATGGGTATTAACTTGTATGTGCCATTATCTTTCTCCAGTACCAAATGTAACTTTTTGATTACTGAAATATTATTTTTTTATTTTTATTTTTTTTGTGGCACCAGGGATTGAACTCACGACCTTGTGTTTGCCAGGCAGGCACTTATTCTACTGAGCTATCTCCCCGGCCCCTGAAGTATTACCTTAGTTCAACTTAAATAGCTGTCCAATCTCCTTCTCTCCATATATAGGTTCCTTTGGAAATTAAAAATCAAGACTTTATGTCATGAATGTACTTAATATTACAAAGTAGATTTATGTGAGTGCATCTGAATTTGAGTCCTACTTATGTTTACTAGGGAAGGTAGCGATCTCGTTTGTTTCCTCAACAACATTCACAATATTCCAGCCACATGGTAAGCACTGCACTAAAATCTGGAAATACAAAAACAAGGTTGCTAGTCCTAAAGAACTTAGTTTCACCTTTTAATTTATAATATGTAGTTAAAAACTACCCAGTGAACAGGCATGATGACTAGAAAGGTCAAATGAAACTGTAATTAGCTTCAAAGATCATAAAATACTACACAAATACTTATTTATCCAAACATTTACTCAAATGCCAGGCATTGTGCTAAGCATTAGAGATGTAAGTGAGCAAGTCTTATTATGGTCCTGCCCTTAAATAAATCTTACTCTAGCAGTGATCAATAAGCAGCAATAACAAGTGCTAAGCATACAGCTAAGAAAGCAGAGGAGTACAGGAAGTGCACAGTTGGGCCACCTGGTCCAAAGGGCATCAATGAAGTCTTTCTAGACAAAGTAGCATATAAACTGAGACCTGCAAGATGAACAGAAATGTGTATTTCATTCTAAGAACAATGATGAAAGCAGTGGAGTGACATGTCTAGACTGACTCAGTTTTTGTTTAGGCAAAGGAAACTAGATAGTTTCCTATCTAGATAGTGCCAGCTATGAAAGAAAGAAGACAAGCAGGTTTGGGGGAAAGATCAATGGCATGTTGTGGTGCCTGAGAAACAGCTTCAATGGGCTTATGTTAGCAAATAGGTATGACTTAGGAAAAAAATCTAGAAAAGGGGTATGAATTTGGGATCTGAATATAGGTGGTAACTGAAGCAGCAGGAGATGAGAATCTTCCAAAGATATAATTCAAGACACGTAATGGCAATGAAAATTAGACAGACTTGAAAAAATTAATAAAGTAAAATCTTAAAAACAGATACTTAAGGGAAAAGGGACCTGCAGAGAATGAGAATGAATGCTTGGAGATTTTTCTCCTCAAAGCTAAAATAATTGAGTATGTCAGTAATTTTGACAAGCAGGGGTGAGTTTGGTGGAACAGTTTGGCAATATGGAGGCCAGGTAAAGCAAATCTTCCAGAACAATTAGTGGGAAAATAACTGTTAAAGACATCAAGTTTTTTTAAAAATGGTACTTATTTTAACTATATTCACCAATACAACAGGATCAATAACTATGTACTTAAAAAAAAAAAAACTGTCATGCATTTACAAAATTACTTTATACAGAAAACAGTAAAATACACTTTGTTTTTCTACAAACAAGACTAGTTATAGCAAATTCCTCAATGCCCAGGATCAAGTTTTAAACCCTTGGGTTATATCCCCACCCACCCACAACACACAACTAGATGATATAAACTAATTTTAACATCATCTTAAGCAAAACATACTAGAACATCACAAAAATGTACAAGATTTCAATATTTGAGGAAAGGAGACTAGAAAGCACAGCTTCCAGGTCTTCCAATAAAGCACTTGCTATAAAAGACAATACTTGAAACTACCAGGAAATTACCAGTAGATTACTTTGTCAGTTTTTCACTACATTGTTTTTTTCAGATATTTAAGCTTACTCTTTGTTGACCAAACCATATTCTGCCCACACATTTTTCTACCCTAATTATAACAAATCCCTTTAATCTTGATCTTAGCCAAAAGGCCAAAAAGTGTTAGAATGCCTTAATCTGATTGAATATTGAACTAACTTATAAATGCTATTATGAGCTCCTTTACTGATCTTACCAGCCGACCTTGGAATGCTGGGATTAATCTTTCCCACCAAGGAATCCCTCAGTTTGTCGAACTTGTGTTCTAATTTTTTTACCGGTAATTTGACCTGTCCCTTGAAATAAGATAATGTACATTAAGAGGAGGGTCTACTGGCAGTCTGGGAAAGAGAATTTTTCATTATGCCAGGCTGTCCTGTGCACAGCATAGGGGATGGAATGTTTAAATACCAGCAGAATCCTTTCCTCACAGTAAATAATAACCAGAAAAATATTTCCCAGCATCCACTGCAAGGGTTACTACCTCTGGTTGAGAACCATGATACAACTTTGATTCTTAAGTTCTCTTTTTTTTTTTTTTTTTCTTTTTTTGGCGGTACCGGGTATCGAATTCAGGCCCTTGCGCTTGCCAGGGAAGCTCTTATTCTACTGAGCCATCTCCCCGGCCCCGATTCTTAAGTTCTTACAACTTCTATTTAGAATGATAGGAACCATGTCCTTCTAAATTGAGTTGTATCCTGGTTCTTCAAGTTTATCATATTAGTGACTGTGGAATAATGTGCTACAATAGTTAAGACAGAACTCAGTAGCACAACAATTTTCAAATTGTACTTGAGTATCCATGAGTTACAAGTATTACAAATACTGTTTTTTCTTATTTTTAAATCAGTTTCACATACTGAACTTTGCACAGCTAACATACATTGAAAATTAATTACTGTAATGGCACAAATCCAGTGTCTTACTAGAAATACAGAATTAACACAATCTGTAAATAACACTGCTTGAGATTTTAAAATTTTTTACTTGTGTACTGTCTTAACTATTGAATGTGTGCAGCAGTTTAAATTTAGAATAAGTCCATTTCCAGCAGCTAACAAAAATCAGATACTCTATCATTTTAAAATAAAGTGTTCCCTTTACCAAAAATTTCTTTATAAGGCCATGCAGAAAAAGACATGCTTAAATATCTCAAACCTCTTGAACCTGAAGTGCAAAAATCTTTTTCGTCACCCTTTTGGTAATGAAACTTCTGTCCAAAGCAGAAAAAAGAATTACTAACTGGCAACAGTTAAGATTCTATACTTACCATAGTCCTTTAAGAGGCAAGCTGATAAAACAGCCCCAAGTTATGAAAAATTCACAGGAAATTCCAATAGTAACAATTTAGGAAACTCCAAATTATGAAAAGTGTCCTAACTCAGCAATTTAAAAATGATCTTTGCTCATCTGATTAAAATTTTGTTTAATTCCTATTAATATCATTCAGGTGGGTGGGGAGAAGGTAAAAGGAGAAAAATCTGTCAAAATTTACTTTGGACTGAGAAATGCTGTAAAAAAATAGCCTCAAACATTTTGTTAGACAAAATACCTCCACTGTATGTTTGTATGCTTTTCCTTTTCAGAAACAAAAACTTTCTATGAGTTTTTGTGAACTGAATTAAACACATTTAAAAAGTTGACAATTTTAGACTATGTATCAGAATTTTAACACTAAAGAGCTAAAATTTTTGGCATATATCTTCAGAACACCTTAAAAACAGACTTCTAATTCAACTCACTATCAATACTAAACATCATTAAAATCAATTCTATCATAAAAAGAAAAAGACAATGACTATGCCATTAAGCTAAGTTTCTGAAGAAGTGGGATTCTCATGTGTCAGTCATGCTGCCATAAGAGATGAAAAAAAGGCAACTGTTGGAAGGATTTGAATTCTGATCCATTTCAGTGTCTTGTAACAAATGTGGTGTTCTATAGGAATCCAAATTAGTAAACTTGAAAAAAATTTTATCTTTTAGAATTGAATTCATGTTCCAGTGCTGACGTAAAAAGACTTATGGAGTAGATTCAATTCTTTCTCTCATAAGATCATCCCAACGGGGATCCATTTCAGTTGTGGCAACCCGGAAAAGGGCTTGAAGATGCTCATCTGTCAATGGCTGGCTCAATGTGTGTTGGTTTCGTGTCAAATATGCAAAAGCCTTGTCACAGATTTGGTTACTATCAAACAAGGATGCCACTTTATAGGCAACCCCTTTAATAATTGGGTAAGATTCAGAAGGCAGTCCAGCATAGAATTGCCCCAAGTCTTTGACTCTGTATTCATTCCAAAGGGTAGTGTTTCCCTGAAGTTTTGTTAGTTCCACCCTTACTGAAATAGGTGCATATTCAGGTTTAAAGTTAAACGGATTTGCAAAAAGTTCTAAGTCTTTTTTAATGAATCTGAGGTCTTTAAAATGTCTCTCAAAATCTTTTTGTAGACGACAGATCACCATTTGATACCTGTCAGGCTCAAATATTTTTTGATCTTCCTTAAATTGCTGCTTTAGTTCATCAACAACTTCGCTGAAGGCAGGAAAGTCTATTAAATCTTGTTCTTCAATTTGTCTCTGAAACAAATTCAGTTTACCTTCAAAAGTACAAATATGGTCAAAAGCAGTAGCAGCAAAGACTCCACTAAATTGCAGCTCTTCACTGAGTTCCCGAAGGTGGTTCATAATATCCACCAAGAAGCCAAAGTCACAAAGCCATTGCTTGTCTGTGAAATGGACAGTTGTTGCCCCTACTGAAACCAAAAATGCTTCTATTTCTTTTCTTAGTGAAAATATCAGTTTTAAAGTTTTCCCTCTTCTAAGCCAATTGTTCAGACATCGTCCATTGATCCTTTCACCATGCTCTGATTCAGATTCAGTTAGTAAAGGCTGAAATTCCGGTCGCCTAACGCCTCTAGTCTTAATCATGACTATCCATTCAGATATGGTATTTATGATTTGATTAACATCTACATCATAAGAGCTCAACAGTTCCAAGTGAAGAAACCCTGAATAGTGTATAACATTCCAACAGTTGGGGCTTACAGCCTTTTCTCTCATGTACGAGACAAGTCCTGAGTTCTCACCAATCATTCTCAAAGTGTGAGTGGTGGTCAGTCCAACCATTCGCTGCAAGCTAAGCCCTGCTGTTTGCAGGGCCTCTAGAATTGCGGACATGAGCGCACCAACACTGAAGTGATGAGTCAGGTTGACTATGGTCAGAAGGTCTTCTTGCACCTCCAAATCAGAGTCCACACCACGGATAAAGACGAGGAGATAGTTCTCATAGGCCACAAAGGCCTGGTCGTCCAAAGCAAGTGAATAGGCCCTAAAGTTCCTGGCTCGATTAAAAAGCTGACTGCGTAGATTATTGTCAATGCTCAAAATCCTCTGCCTCGTGATCTCCGGAGATAAATCAATGCCTTCCAGGACGCCTATGTGATCAGGCAGTACCTCTCTCAGAAACACCTCCATGCACTGGTACACAAAGTCCCCCTCACCCCAGCCACGGCCCTTCAAAGCCAACAGGCGGCAGAGCCCGAGGCCCGCACGCGCAGCTTTCTCCTCAGGGGTAAGCACAGCGGCAATCGACAAATCGCCGTGCTGGAGACGCTCCACCAGGGCCGCGCGCTCCTCCTCCGTCACATACCGCTCGTAGAATTCGTGTTCGGCCTCATAGTGGCGCCTGACATCGCGTTCGCGGGTAGAAGCGACGAGACGGTGACATACCAGGCATAGAGCACCGTTGCCCTCCGGAGGTTCCACCACCAAGTAACGTGGGGTCCACTCAGGCCGGAAAACAAGAGCTTCATCGACTTCCATTTTGCTCCTTTTGGGCGTCATCCACATTCTGCGGGAAACCACAAGAGCACTGCAAACCTCAGAGAGGCCACAAGGAGAGGGGAGGAGCCGGCCTGGAGAAAAGCACCTCCTAGGCTCTGCGACAGATCACCTCAGCAGGAAAACACCAGCCCTGCGCTATGACAACTCCCTTTCTATTGGCTAGAGGTTTCGTATTCTTCGGCAGCTCCCTAGGAAAAAACCAATAGGAAAAGCGGACAGTGATCTCTACCGCGCACGCTCACGTCCTCCTAGCTGGTGGGCTGCAGAAGCTTTAGGGCGGGACGAAGAGATCCGGAAACTTACAGCAGTTTAGAAAATTGACTGGCATATAAATTGCCCAATCAATAGCTCCTGCTGGAGGGTGGTGCAGAATGTCGTAAACTGTGGTGGAAGGAAGAACGTAGTACGAGGCACTGAAGTGATTGGCTACAGGCACTTCCGGTGAGCAACTAGCCTTCGCCTGTGCGCCTCTGGCGCTAAAATGTCGCTTATGGCGGGGGTTATTCGGCGGCTGGACGAGACAGTGGTGAACCGCATCGCCGCGGGAGAAGTTATCCAGCGGCCTGCTAATGCCATCAAAGAGATGCTTGAAAACTGGTACGGAGGGTGTTGGCCAAGTTCCTTTAAAGGCTACGACGTAACGGGCCGCTCCTCCGAAAGGCGCCGTCACACCTCCAGGCCTGGGCAGAAGCGCGTACGGCGCATGCGCCGAGGCTGGGGGGCCCCTGGGCTAGCGCTGGTCCTTCCTTCTCCCTTCCCTGGAAGCGCGAGTTTTTGAGCGCTATCGCGAGACCTTTGTAGTGTTTGGGGAATGTCAGAAGTGGAGGGGTATATGAGATATTATTTCAGTAGTGCCGTTAGGTAAAGAAGCTGCTTACAATTATATGTGCAGAGGGTACGGAATTAAAGATGTTAAGTATAAAAGCTTAGAGTGGGAAAAATATTTATGTAGAAGATACCAAGTTGTTAAGACTTACCTTTCCAAAGCTAATCCATAGAAATCCAGGGACACAATTCCATTTTGAGTTTCGTTCAAAATCGTTGCGGGTCGGGTGTGGTGGCTCACGTCTGTAATCCCAGCACTCACGAGGCAGAGGCACGAGTTCCAGACCATCCTGGGCCACAAAGTGAGCTCCTAGCCAGCCTGAGCTGCCAAGCGAGACTGTCTGAAAAAAACAATAAATAAATAAATAATCCGTTGGAGTTCTAGGACAGAATAATAAACTGGATTTAACTTCCAATATCCCTTGGATATTAGTGACCCCTCTAGAGATCCACCTTTATTGGCGGGAGGCACGTTGAAAATAGCAGACTTTACATCTTACAGATGTCACAGGCACGGCGGGGGTGGGGGGGGGAGGGGGGGATGTTGAAAATGGGGGAGAAAGTGAATGTAAGGCTGTAAACCTTTGAAAAGAACCCTGTAATGAGCCAGAGCATTCTTAACTCAGATTCTTTGTATTAAACTCAGTTGCTGTTAATACCGTCCGTACATTATTAGAGAAAAAAAAAAATCCTCCAGTGAAGAATAGATTTGTAGTGAGATTCATTGTGAACAATAAACCATTCAGGGTAGTGAGACTAAAAGAACAGCCAAAAATGAAGAAAATTAGAAGGTAGACAAAAGAGGGAATCTCTGGATATTTTTTCCTTATGGTTTCTCACAGTAATATCAGTAGTAAGCAAGATTTTTTTTCTAGTGTTAGAATGACCTGACATAATAACTCTGGTCAATTATTGTACTCTCTCTGCACATTGTACAACAAAGTTAAATAGTTCAGTGGCTTATAATTTGGCAAGAGATTTTTGTGTGGAATCCAGTTAATCCCTTTTGAATATGTGGCTAATACATCTTCAAGATGGCTAATACATCTTTAGTGCTGGGGCTCCTCAGAAAGGTCTTAATATTTATTGAGTTGTCTTATTTTTGAAAAAATAATTTCATTATTCTTTTTTTTTTCAGATATTTATTTTTTTTTATTTTTATTTTTTT